TTGATTATTCTGGGAGTCACCTCCCCACTTTTGCTGCAATTCATGATAAATAAATAGGTACGCAATGTGTACAGGTGTCTACTGCGAAAGTTCAGGTAATGGAGCAAAATAAGTGTTGAAATTTAGGTCTCCTTTTATCAAAAATTAGAGAGGGTGTTTGTACTATTTTGTCGTATTGTTTGAGACCTATTTCAATGTGGCAGTGTCTACTGTGTGGTTGTTTTTGTTTTATAAAGGTAGCGTTTGTTTTGCTATTGTAATATAGATGCTCGGGTATCTTGGCAAGAGTGTTTAAATGAAATACGACCTTTACGTCAAACACAATTAATAGGGGAGGGGAAAGTCTTGTGCTATTTAGACAAACATTTTTGGTGGTTCGTGTACCTTTTTCGCGGCATCTTAAATTCCGCATACAGCTTGTGAGAAGGCCATTTTTTTAGACAATTTGGCTGATTTGTCTTAAGAAATGTTTCTCAGCCATATGTTATGTACTTTAAATGTAGTGCATGGTTCCCGAGATGACCGGACATTTATGTACCTTGAACGATTTTACTTGAGAAATGTTTGGATAGAATTTAAACAGGTACAATAAATTGTTCCTCGTTTCTTTTGCATACAAATACACTTTATGTAGTGCAATCTGTTTTCTGCTGTTCGCCTGACCCACTATTGTATTTTCAGTTACAATAATTGAAGATACGAGAAAACCAATAGTTGAAAATACACTTGATTATTGTAATATATTACACAGTTGTACAAAGTAAATGTAAGCTTCAGCTATCGTATTTTGTTTGTAACCTTAGAAAGACTATTTATACATTCTTTACTTGACATTTCTAATTCCGATTACTCAATTCTTTAATTTTGAGAACTATCATAAAAATGTTATCACAATCAATTTTGTAAGCTTTTAAGATTTGCTACTGACTACCACTGAAGTGTGATGGTATAGAAAAAGTGAAAAAGTTTTGTCTGACTATTTGGTATTCTCTAGAAGTTCGATTATGTGATTGGACTGTGTATTAATTTTCATTTTAATATTTTCAATTTGAAGTAATCTTTCCGCTATTTGATCCGTGTTGGAATCTCTGGTAAGGCTTATTCTGGACAATAAGATTTCTATGACATCTGTCAGAGCAGTAAGCCAGCAATCTTTTCCATCTATTTCGGCGCAAAGGCGTGCAGACATTCCGTTTTCTGCCGCTTTAACTTTTTGACTAGTTCCACATGAAGTGCATTTGAGAACAGTTGAGCCCACTGCGTGCAGCATTTTTTTCTTGCAAGACTTTATCTGGCATGTCATGAAGACATTTACTTTATCAACAAATTTGAATTCTTGGATATCAATTTCCTTCTCAGTATTTGAAAGAAGCTGTGGGCCTTTCACTTCAGTTAGTTGGAGGTCTACTTTTTGGAATGTTGTTGTTGGTGTGGTACCCAGTAATGTCATTCCTGAATAATTCTTCTCGCTAAGATTTTGGAAGCTGTAAGTGTTTCAACTCTCTAGTTGGATTAGCAAGTTATCCAGTTGCATAAAAAGTAAAGTAAAGTAAATTCAAGTGAAGTAAAGTTTTATAGTGGCAGAACCAGTGCGATCTTCAATCACACAGTCTTCTTTTACGTATCCCTTTTCGCCATTGCATTTAATGACTTCTTTGTCTGGATTTTGACCAAGTGTTAGGTGGCCTTGTACATTAACCTTTTGATTTCTTGTCAGAATGGTTTCTATTAACAAATATTATACGGGAAGGCTAACCAGATGGCTTTATGATCAGTAAAATATGTTTATACTGTTCGTAAAGTGGTATCAGCATGTGAATCTAGTAGGAAATTTGTGTATATGTTGCGAAACGTTTCACAGTCGATATTTTTACGGAAAAAGATCGCACTTTTACGGAAAGTGGTCGGTGAATCCGCTTGTTACACTAGTATTTATGTATTTGACACAAAAAGACGTACTACCAGATTCAAAGTAAGAAAAGCTCTAAACAATAAGTTTGTTTGTGTTTTTATAACCTGTAAAGTCTATCGAAATTGGATGCTTATCAAATTTACTACTGGCATTATTGTACGCCAAGAAAATCGATCGTGATCTGAAGGTCTCCGTAAGCCCTCGTAAAATCGACTCTATCCATCAAAACGATAGCATTGTAGCTACTCGCGCATGCGCAGTAGCTACAAAAATTTAGGTGATACTTGTTTAAATGTGTAAGTGGTTGATGGTGATGAAAGGATTAATCCCAGAGGAGTTCAAAATCATTAGATAATGTTTTCTGATTGATTATGTTAATGATCCAGTGGTGCTTGCCATAATAAGTTCTTCTTGTGTCGTTCAAGCCACTTGTCAAGTTCTGTATCATCAAGGGATACCAAAAGGTTGGGCTGTATATCGGGAAAAGATTCGTGAATTCTGTTGGGCAAACTGGTAAAGGGCTTCTGCCACAACAATGCCTTCATCTGTTCGTCTGTGAGAGGAGGAATGGGTTTCTCTGTGTTTTTGAACATCAAACTTCTCACCAATTTTATCGTCCTCTCCTGAAGCATGGCTAGACCTGTCAATAGCACTGTCCGTTTTATTGCACTAATTGCCTTGATGACTTCTTTAGTGATTTATTTCTGTTTTCTTGGAGCAGATCAATTTCAATCTTATTCTAGCATCCCCTCTCCAATTTATGGTGGATGCCCAGATGCACTGGGGGGCCTCAGCATCTGATAAGAAACCACTGTTTTGCACTACACTGATCAACATCTCAATAGCATAGTTATTAAAGCCTGGTAATGCGTTAAAATGTGATACTAGCTGCTTATGGAGAGTTCCATTACCCTCCTTCACAGTGTCTTGAAAATGCAAAAACTATGAAGTAATATTTCAAGAGGCATAATGAGTAATTCCTAACACAATCTTCGCTAGTAGGACTGCTTTCGTCATTCTCATCATCATTTGGAGAACTTGTAAGGAACTGATCAATAAATTGAACAAACACAGTCATAATGTTGCTTCTTGTTGTCGCTTTTTTTCTAAAATGTAGTATGGGGCCTGTTTCTTTTTATGCAGTCACCTTTGGATTCCATGCCTAAGAACACCAGCAGTGCCTCTGCTGTGAAGCACTTTCCAATTGAGAGAAAAGGTGTTCGCAATCCTCATAGTGTTTTACATCAATGGTAACGTTGTGGCATTGTTGCTTCCCTCTAAAAAATGGTAGAGTTTTCAGTTTTTGTAGAACTTGTTAAATATATCCTATAAGTATAAGCAAAATAGGAACGTCAGAATGTCAGTCGATACGTCTGGTTTAGCATATAATGAATCGAATTTAACAGGCCTGTGGAAAAAAATACAATACACAGAAGGTAGCACACTGAAAATACATAGACACACAACAATTGAAAACGTTGGATAGACTGGGGCTTGAAATGCTGTTTCACCAGGGACTTAAAAAGTCCGTTGCAGGTGTTATATTAGAGGGGAGTTAATTATAGCCTCGTGCACCAATGATCCTAAAACAGCCCTAGAATTCTTCTGTTGATTACAACCAAAAGAAGCCGTAACTGATCACACAGTCTGGTACTATGAGAGTGAATTTGGCAAGCATGCCAAATCTCCCTCAGCAGAGAAGAAGTAGTTTGAGAAATGAAAGACCCAAGAAAAATTAAGCCATGAAATAGGGATCGTTTTGCTGTGGTAACTAATGATGACAGAGTTACATATTTTGGTGGAACAAATTATGAAAATGTTTCATTGTGCAACGTTATGTTCTGGTTTCCCTATTATAATATTTTGGTTAACCATACGGTTTAATTTTTCTGTTTTATAAAGGTTCTCTTTGTGTGCCAATCCACAATTCGAAAGGGGTAAAGGTAATGAAGATTGTCCTGTGTAATATGATTTCCTGCATGCAAGTCTTTAGTTCCTGCCAATCATACCCTTGTGAGTTGATCACCAAAGTGGGGAACTTTGATATCTGCTAAAGGATCATGGGTTGTGGTACAAGTGGCATGTGGGACCCTGGCTTATCAGGCCTGGGTGGGGCGGCTACGGGAGGAGGAGGAGCAGGAGAAACATCCTGTTCCTCTCGAGAAGTACACATGCCAGCGGTGTAGTAAATTTCACGCACCTATCAATGTATAACATGAATTGCAGGTCAAAAATAATTAACACTCTTGCAGTTTTTTTATACTAAATGTTAAAAAGAGATAACTGATTTGATATCATCTAAATCTTAATATACCCACACCTCTAGTATTTGATCCAACACACCAACTTCTGCATATTTCTTTTGGTCCTTCATAAACACTGGAAGGACACAACTGTCGATTCAGAACTCCTTTCAGTCTGAAAACGGGATAAGGCGTACACACTGGAAAATCGCTTACAAACAGAAATGGAGGAAATAACTTGAGCAAGATTCTTTTCAGGAAATCTTGTGCCATTCTCTTGTGCATCTTTGCTCCTTTTCACTAACGTTTAAAAGGTCCCTCATGTTTTATCATTGAGACACTTCTTAGGCCCATTGTCAGGAAGATCAGCAGCTATGCAATCAAACATGATGCTAATTGCAACGGCATGAACACTTAAGTTCTGTTTGTTGGAACGCATATCATGTACTTTAAACTCCCAGTCAATGTTGTCCAGTACAAGCACAAATCTTTTCCCATCATTTACAAGCTGAACAGCATGATCCAATTTTTTCCGTGGATTGTGGGCTTCATGGGTCCATCATCTTGTTCCCCACATAAGGTGGTATAGGAAATGGAACTGGCAATGGGATGTATCTGAGGTAGTTGCCTGAAATCACAATACAAATTATCATGTGCATTAGGTATCCATATTATAAATATTATTGTGTGGCCCAAAGATTCCACAGTTAATTATAAACAAGAAATTAATTTCTGTATAGCATGATGCTCCATTAGTATCAGGTGAAGCCATCTAAGAGATGCTTTAGTACATTATTTATACCTTACAGTTATGTCAAGAAAATTCTTACTTGAACAAAAACAAAACTATGGTATCAGTGATCATGGCCTTTGGTTGAAAAGTTTGGACATAATCCTTGTAGATTTGAAGTCCAGAGATTTCCACACTCTCTGCAGGTGAGGTAGGGGTACTACACTGGGACAAATCTGTACATAAGGGACTTTGTGAAGTGCCAGTAGTAGCTGCCTCAGGGCTTTTATCTCGTGAACTGATCATGACATCTGCTTCTGAGTGGCTACAGGGCTGCTGTGCAGATCTGCTTATGTATTGCTCTGAAATGCTGGAATCTTGGGAAGAGCAAAATGCTTCTTGTGATGAATCTGCTCAGGGAGTCCCCCAAAGAAGCAACAACAAAAAAAAACATTCTGAGTATGGAGTCAGGCACGAACCATAAATTAGAAGAAAACTCCAGAATGACTGGCAAAATTACTAAATTACTGTAGTTTTTTACCTAATTTATTGTATTATATCTTCTCATAATTGCAAGGCCCAGTCCATTTTGAACACGATGTAATTAGTTTGAATGAATTCTTTTTCTTTTGATATCTATAGTTTTGTAAAATAATTTCGGAATTCGCTTATTTCTAAGCGCGGCGATTTTATTAATAAACCAGACTTACTTACTAAGTTAGGGCTTAAATCTTTATAAATACTTTCCTGGCAAGGATGTCGTGAAAACTTCACTTATTAGGAAAGAGGGCACCTGACTTCTCCAGCTTAGCACAGACAACAGACATGAAGCTTGGGTCATAGGGTACCTCAACAGTGAAGATTCTCCTGTTAGTCCACACAACAAAGATGCACAAGGTGAGGCCCCTTACAAACATTTGAAGCTGAACTTGAAAGTAGTAATTTGAAGTAGATTTTAGTGCAAACTTTTTTCCATTTTGAATACGACCATTTTCTGGGGATAAGAAGGCTTGTTTTGGGTGCAGATCCCTGTGTTTCCAAGGGCGTTTGTATTCAACCACTCTTACTGGGCAACCATCAGAGCACTGACATTTCTGAATATTGTCCACACTTGCACCAAGGAAAGGCTTGGATGGGGAGATTACATAGCCTTTTGGGACAAGCTTTAGCTTGTGATGAGTGTGGCTTACAACACCCTGATATGCCTTGCGAGCACTCTCTTCATGAAACAACCCCTACTCCCTGGCGTTTATTGGTTCTCTTTCCTCTTGGATGAGAGGTGGACATGACTTCACAAGACCAATTTCTTCTATCAACTTTTTGGCATTTTCAGCTAAAGTGTTTCCTGGCGAGTGAAAATTCTTTTGCACTTTGAGGTTGTGATGAACCCTGTCTTATGAAGGTACCACTCTTCACATTGCCATTACTTGGTGCTTTCGTTCAGTGTCACTAAAAGACAATAACTTGACAATTTCTTCTGTAGAGGTTTTGGATCAGAACTTAAAATCTCCAGGAGCTTAGCACTCATTATACCAGTCTGTGGCCGATTATGGTTAGATTGACCAGGTTCTTCTGTGATCGTGTCTTCTTCTGGAGTACCATAAAGTTTTTTAAACAGGGGCAAAATAACAGGTGTATTTTTCAAGTTGCACATTCGTTTGGTAAACTTTCTTAGATGCTCCTCATCTGGTGGATTTGTGTCTTCAAGGGCACGGACATCTGTTTCAATGTTTTGAGAGTAAACTTGCTTGCGTTTTCTCTTTTTGGTGGAAGGTTTTTTGCCTTTCTCAATGACAAGATCTTTTAGTTCACACGCTTGCCTATTCGCTCTTGGCCTCCTAACCCAAACACATGGGTCACTTGTTACACTCTCTTCACCACGGGTATTTAACAAATCCTTCAGAGCGTACATGGCAGCTGCAATATGCTTACATCCCCCATCTCGACCGCCTTTACACTTGCATCGTGCTTAGAGTACACTGCGGTTTGCACCAAATAGAGAATAAACCAGAGATTGTAATAGTCCTTTCCTTCGTCCGTCTTTAACTTCATGAAAGGCTTCACTTTGGCTACGTAAACATGGACTCCCTCTTGTTTTAACTGAGTAGTAAGCAAGGATTCCAAGCAACCTTCATTGAATAATCTATAGTCATCAAATGATTTATAAGGGGTGAGTCCCTGTTTATCGTAATCGGTGGAGTGGTAGATTAAATGGTTAAAAATATTGAACCCAATCCAACCCAAAAACAAGTCCGGTGACCCCATTTTTTATTTCATAATTTTAATAAGAACAGTGCGTTCTATCAATGAGAAAAAAATTGGCTTAAATCCATGTTCATTTTTTTGGAATTGTAATAAATTGTAAGGATTGAGCTAAAACAGGTCAAATAGGGAGTGTCAAAATTAAGTCTACTTTGGAGTGTAATGTAAAAACAAGGGCCCTAAAAGGAATTTAAGTGGATAAACAGTACAGTTAAGTCAAATTCTGTGTGATACCCTAGGCATCATCAATAGATCTCTACTTTTTGCCTAGTTTTGGGCTTTGCGCGGTTTTTGCCAAGGGGTCATGAAACCTGTATTTTCAGCATTGTGACTTAAAAACGAGTACGGTCGCTCTAGGTGTTCTTTAAGTGTTGTGAGTAGACAAGATAAACCAGCAGTATCTGGAAAATTAGCTCATTAAAAAGTCTTTGCATAAGCTGAGAAAATGTTGCAGGTGCATTTGTCATTCCAAAAGGCACCTATTATATTCATAGAGGCCAAATGGAGTGATGAACGCTGTCTTGTGTACAGGGTCCATAGCCACTTGATTAAATGCGCTTGCTAGGTCCAGGGTACTTAAAGTGCCCATAGCCTAAAAAAAATTATTTCTTAACTGAAAGTACACATTTAAAAAGGAACTTCTGCGAAAAAAATTTTGCGATTCAACAAAACATGATTTTTTTTAAAATCTTCGAAATTTGCCGCCATTTTGGTCCACCATTCGCATTAATCTACTCTCAGCCAGATAGGATCTGTGATGTATGGTGACATAACTTCAAGAACTTGTATCAGTTCGGCCTGTCACATCTCTTCCCAAGCCGAGATTTATTTAGATCATCGAAAATGCCTGCGAGGTGCATCGCAGCACGTTGTGGCAATGTAAAGGACCCAGATAGGAGTAGATCAATGCATAAAATTCCATTTTTCGGCGACGTGTGTCCGAGTAAAAAGAAAAGGTGAAAGAAGTGGGTTGACTTTGTGTTGGAGAGGAGGAAGATGTGGGTTCTGGGGAAGTCCTCCTCGTTGTGTTGCGAACACTTTGCTCCAGACGACTTTCAAAGGCAGTTAAACACAGAAGTGAACTTAAAGCGAGATTTAAAACAAGATGAAATTGGGGTTTGTGTTTTCCCATCAATACATGCTACACGGAAAGGAGATCCATCTTGGATGCCTTCGGATGTAAAGTAAGACAGCCTGTTGACGTAAAGGAGACATCGGTGGTGGAAAGATGCACTAGGGGATTGAACTGAGATGCTGAAGGTGATGTGAATTCACTGGACCGCAGAAAGCCATAGAAGGCCAAGGTAAAAGCCGACCACAACATCAACGGTAAGTAGTCAGGAGCACGAGCTAGCTCCTCCTTAATCTGCTGAAGAAGGGTCATAGTGATAGGGAGGTGCTGACGAGATGTGAGGCCCAAGGTGCGCTTGATTGCACGCAGGAGGAGATGAAGGAGGGGTGCTGCCAAGAAGGGATTTGGTAGGCTGTTTTCAGTGTGGGCAAAACGGATTCCTGCCATGTATAACTTTATGGTCTTGAAGCTGACTTGATCAGCAAGATAGGCTGCGAAGAAGTGTAATGTAGTCTCTGTGGCAGGAAAACTTGGCCAACCCCTGGATGCACAGAAATTAAGAGTATCAACGAATGCCTGCCTGGAAGGAGCGGCGGGTTGAATCCGCTATTGCCTGGGACTGGAGGAAAGTTAGGCGGGCTGCCAAAGGGTTGCGGCCGACTGAGGGACATCAGTTGGTTCCAAATCTGCTGCAGGTGCGAGAAGACGGAACTGGGACATCTGCAAACCAGATAAGGAATCAGCGATTAACTCATGCCAACAGTATGAGTGACAAGGACTGTAAAGTGATTGATGGCAGCAGTGAAGAAAATGGAGCAGACAAGGTGCATAATAAGGGAGTCTCGGGAAGAGCCTGAGGCCCAAATGTCCACTACCGCTTGATTATCGCAACGAAAGAGGAGCTTCTTTCCGGTCCACTGATGACCCCAAAGAAGACATACCAGAGCAATGGGGTAAAGTTCTTCCACTGAATCGATCGGTTCCGGAGTACAGTAGGCCAGGGGTTGGCAATCCAGTGACCCGTGTAAAAGATGCCGTAGCCGAGACTTCCCGAGGCATCTGTGAAGAGTTCCATATCTGGGGATCTCATCCAGTTGAGGTCGGGTATGATGGCATTGCTGTTCCAAGAGGGGAGAAAACAGAGCCACCAAGAGATGTCGCAGCGGGATTCGTGGTTCATAGTGACGTGGTGATGTGGAAGTTGTGCCTGGGTTGAGAGGTCAATAAGTCAATCAAGGAGAGAAGTTGTCTTTTGTGACATTTTTTACAGGAGGACCAAGAGTGGAGTTCGGACAACAGCTCATGAAGTTTATCATCAGTTAGGGAGGTTTCCATGCAAGTAGTGTCAATCAGAATACCAACTGAGTAGTGGGTCAGATGTATGCCCAACGAAGAGGCCACTTGGGTAATGGTGTGAACATTATGGGCACAGACCAGAGAGTTGGCAGGGTTGACGGTAAAATAGTCATCCAGGTAATGCATGAGGTCCTGGATGTGATAGTTGGTCTTCAATAGCCACTCAAAGGCGTCGGACAAACGGTTGAAGAGATAGGGAAAAGATCGCATACCAAAGGGGAGGCAGAGATCAAGGTAGTATTGGCCCTGCTAGTGAGTGCCGAGTAGTTCGCGGTCCTCCATGCATACTGAGCAAAGCCAGAAAGCATGTTTTATGTCTAGTTTAGCCATGAGGGCATCCTTCCCGTAACGTGCAACTAGAGATAGAGCTTGATCAAAGGTAGCGTAGTGTAATGAGAATTCCTCCTTGGAAATGTAATAGTTTATTGAGGACCCATGGGGGGAGGAGAGGTCCATGATGATGCGCCAGGTGCCGTCTTTCTTAGGCACTACCCCGAGAGGGGAGCATTGGAGGTTTTGGATAGGTGGTATTTGAAACGGCCCGGCCGTATGACCATTGGATACCTCCTTAGCTAGGGCAGCTGAAACGGTGTCAGGATGCAGGAGGGCTGAGGTTAAGTTTGGTGTTATGCGAGCAAAGCAAGGGCTGGTATAGCCAACATGACAGCCCCATTGGAGGTCGTGTAGAAGGCTTGTAACAAACTGTTGGTTGGGATGGTGCTTGAGTTCAGTTGAGAGGTTGGCAACTTTGACAGGTGTAGAAGGGGGGGGGATGGGGGGGGGTTAAAATGGGATGGATGGAGTTACAATTGGGGTACTTTTGGGCACTGAGAGCCAGGGTGGTTTCCACTGCAGTCTGGTTTGTTGCAGATATGCTTGAAGTGACAGTTGGGGTGGCGGCAGGCCCAGCGGTTGAAGTCGTGACAGATGGCTGCTTGCTGTGGGTGCTCGTTGCGGGATGGGAGGGGATTGTTGGAGGCTGCGCCAAAGGTGTCGGTGAGGGAGTGGTTGTGGAAGATGAGAAGGGACGAAAAGGCTGGACAGGCTTTGATCGAGTGGGACAACCCAAGGTGCGATGACCATAGGTGTGGCAATGGACGCAGTAGAGCAGGGTCTCTTCCTTCAGAATATCATTATAGAGCTGCTCAACCACTTTACCCCATGACATGGCGACATGCGAAGTAGCCATATAGCGAATGGCTGTGTATTACATAAGCCAGGCTGATGCTTTAAACTTCCTGCTAAACTTGCAAATCTGGACCTGGTATGCGAGGAGGTCTGGGGCGAGAGATGGGTAGATTGATATGGTGGAGCACAGGAAGACATTCCAGGCTTCAAGCCAGGAGGAAAGGCCATCGATGCGGCGTTTCTTGCGCTGGGAAGGTACAAAAGCAAGGGTAGTGGCGTCCTAGGGGTCAACAGTCAGGGTGAAGTTGTTCTGGGAGGAGGCGAAGGAAGGGTATGGGTACGTGTTATCTGAGAGAAATTCTTTGAATTCAATGTACTCATGTTTGAATATCTTCGAGCGGAGTTTCTCCGGGAGCAGTGGCAGAGTAAGGTCGTTTTCATAGGCTTGGTTGGTAACAATTTGTTGAGCAGGACCCTGGGAAGCCTGTGAAAGACTGGGCACTAACTGGCGTAGAGAAAGGCCGCCATCTTGGGTGACATTGGGAAGGTTTACGCCGTTCAGGTTCTGTTCCGTTGCTGTGGTCGCTGCGATGTTCAGAGGGCTAGCCGGGGACAGAAGAGGCACTTCTGCTAGTAAACGAGGAGCTTCACCGGGGCCAGAACGTTGGAAGCCAACTGTTTCAGCTATTAACTCGCGAAGCTGGCTAAGTTGGTCTGGCGAGAATTGAGAGCCCGGAGTTGAGGAAGGTTGTTGGCGACCAGTAGAACGAGAAGGGCGCTCAAGATCCTCGGAAACGCCAGGATTTTCGGATGAGGCTGGCAAGTGAGGAGCTATGGCCTGAGGTGCGTGATTGTTTGCATGTTCGAGTTCAAAGATGGGTTGGGCCAAGCGAGACCTTGTACCCGTGGTCACGAGATTTCGTGCCGAAGCTAAAAGAATCAATGAATTCCTTGGCAGAGCGTTGAGTTGGGCTAGCGTGAGTGATTTCGGATCCATAGTTACGGCTCGATTGCGGCGATTTCCTGGACGCGGAGGCATAATCGAGGAGAAAATAAGAAACTAATGCGTAGTAAACTACTATTGGAAAATATAACGCGTGCACGCAAAGTGAACAAAACAAAGGAGCACTCAGCTAGCATTGATGGATATAAGCATAACGTAGTATTGATTACAGCTACTAACAATGAAAACTTGTTATCACAGAATTTTGTATAAACAACTGAAGGTCAGTTATTGATGTAATCTAAGATAAACAAGGAGCTCTTGAACCAGAGCTAAGTCACGCAATGTTCTTTTATGTGCGATGGCTGAAGTACGCTCTAATTAGTTAACTGTATTTTACAAGTATAATTTACAAAGAAGCAAATCAAGAGTTCTAGACAGGTAGGATCCCTTTCTAATTCATGAGGGAGAAAGAAGATGAGTATTATTGGTGGTATTTTTCAGAAATCTCTTGTGTATAGGGGTATGTTGTCCTCGAACCAAAAAGGGAACAAGTTGTTCTATTGGCAGATGTGAATAATATTTTCCAAACTTTGAAACTTGAACAAAACAGCCTGTTCCAATTGATATTGAACAAATTGAAAAGTACTTCATAAATATACAATCAAGTTAAAATATTTTTGACAAATCAGTTTCACCTGTCTTCTGCTCCAGTCTTCTTGTAGTATTCTCTTGCTTTTGTTCGGTATTTCCCACCTGCCAACCGCAGTGTCCATATTTCTAGGCAGACTGGCCTGAAACCGGGATGTTCTGTTACACAGCATAACTCTTGGCCCTCCTCAAGATCTTCCAGGACAATCTCACTTGTCAGGGACTCGACACATCCTTCAAGTTCTTTACAACAATATTATTCGCTTATATTCGTAAGCAAATCGCACTCACATATTTCACAAGTACACCTACGTTTGAAATAAAAGGTTCAGAAAGTTACACGAAATGCTGATTATTTCCACAATGTAATCGACTTAGACATACAAACATTCAAGGCAGCTGCAAGTGCTTGTATGTTAGATCAACTTACCAGTCAGCAACAAACACACTGTTATTAAGGCACTTCGTCAGCTCTTTCCAGGGTGTCCAGTTCCTATTTTTTCCTTTTTTTCCCTATTTTTTTTTTTGCTAGTGAAGCCAAAATTTGTAACAAAATTGAAAATGGAATTATAGTTGTATGTGTTTTTGTGAGATTTATCATAAAGCAAGTACAGTATGTGGTCCTTGGTCCGCGTGTAAAAGTCATTAACCAGAATATCTTAGCCGAATCTTCATGTAACGAGCTGAAATACTCCCTGAAGATAGCTTTTATGTTCCTGTCGAGAATCCTGAAGTTTCAAGTTCCAGACATAAATATTTTGCTTGGAATTCGCAAAAAGGTGACCGTTTTCGATGGTCCTTGGTCCGCGAATCTGGTCCTTGGTCCGCGTCTCAGGTAAGCAGCACGATAAAAACGTAAAAATGTTATAGTTTCTACTAGAAAACGTGATTTTCACAATATTTCATGTATTTTTTTTTCTTTTCTTCATGCAATTAAGCTAAAGTTTTTTTCGGAAGATGTTGTGAGCATAAAATAATCTGCTTTTCTTTCAAAGACTTCAGACAACAGTCTCCTCGAGTCTCCCACACGAGCGTCGACGAGCGGTTTTTAGCGCGGTCGAAAATAATTACCAAAAACTCTGTATGTATCCGAGGTATTAAAAAAAGAGAACTTGTAGACATGTATAGGGACGACTTTCAAAACATTCTTCGAAAACAAAGGCCGTCGCTTTTACTTTGGGAAGTTTTATTCAACCAAGGTCATAGGCCGCGGACCAAGGACCGCTAAGCGAAATTTGGTGATATTTTTCAAGAGTCGCTAAAACAAAAAAATCAGAGTCTACAGCAATATGCTTCCAACAGCAGAAATAAGTTCATCTGAAAACCTGTTCTGCAAAAAGGCAAGTCTTCCCGTTGCGTTTTAGTTATTCGCGGGCTAAGTAAACATGACCATGTAATTTACGGTGCCGCAAAAATCCAAACTTCAAGAAAGACAAATTAACCTACCTGTCAACAAACTTTAATTTCGCGTCTTTACCCGCAGCAAGAAAGGTGAAACTTCGTCATATGAAAGAATGCTAATTAGTAAATCACGATATCTTTCATTATTCAACGCATTTTTTTTCTTAACGAAATATTTTATCATTTTCGGAAAAGACGCGGACCAAGGGCATCGGGGACTTCCGCGGACCAAGGACCACATACCGTTGTGTGTTGACTTTGATTTTCTAATATTCTTTGTTTTCACCTGACGTCACAACCCTTTCCAAATATGGGCATCCGCCATATTTGTGTCCCTCGGTCTGTGAAATTTATGATAATTGTATGCCATCTCTATCGACTCCTTCTAATTTTAAAGAATTTTGCGCTTCTATTATGGATGTGGCGGAAGAAAAAGGTGAGGAAGACCTCAGGTGAGGATTTCAGCGGCCCACCCTTGGCCCAGTACGCAACTTCAATGTTGTGTCTGGGGAATTTGTACAAATACTACACACGGGCAGTGACCACTGGGTATGTGTTCGCTCGATAGGATGTTCGCCAGGCTGTGTGAATCTTTATGACAGCCTTTATCATGATGCAATTTGCCAAGAAGTGGAAGACCAAACTTATGATTTGCTGGGTGGAAGATTGGTCAGACTACAGTTTGTTTCCGTTCAGCAACAAACAAATGGCTGTGACTGTGGCATATTTGCAATAGCCTTTGCCACATGCCTTGCTTTAGGCACGAACCCCAGCAATGTGACATTTGATATTCAAAGAATGCGTTCACATTTAGTTACATGTTTAAGGGCAACAAAAATGAGCATGTTTCCATGTTTTTGACACTAATCACTTTAGTGTTCTATTTAAGGGAAGGGGCATTTTATACGTAACACTGAAAATTGAAGATTCATCACATTTCCTGAAAATAATGTCAATTTTTGTTCCAGCTAGAGCTTATGTACATGCTGTTCATCCCATACTTTGCATTGGAGTTATTACTGAAACCAGGGTTCAACATCTCCAGTAGCCCAGTAGCTCTATGCTTGTAAAATGAGGTTGGGCTGGTAAAATTTCACATTTTTACCATTGTGTGAACTAGTAGAAAATGGGAAAGAAATTTTGAGTTGTAAGGATGGTAATAATAATGAAGAATGTATAATTTTATCACCGATGGGACTAATAACTTTCAAAGAATATTAGCCTGGTAATTCAGCTAGCCAGAGCATGCTGAACCCATAAGTTACCCAACAGTGGTTGATGTGGCTTACTAGTATGTGAAAAGGTTAGGCATGCAATTAACTGAAAATGCAAGCATCAGGGCTGGACACTGATGGTAGTCATAGCCACAGATACCCTGTGAGCAGAGGCCCTTTGATCTTCTTAGATAAGTCAGGAAGAGGAAGGGACCTTCCTCTTCCCAACTTTTCTAGGAAGATCGAAAGGACCTCTGCTCAAAGGGTAAGCCACAGTCCACTTTCGCAAGTGAAAAATTTGAAATTAGAAATAGTTTGCTTATTGCAAGAAAAAGAAAAAAGATTGCATTGACTGACAAATAGTTAAGAATTTGTTCATGCTTAGCGTGCGTATATCGAGCTATGGATGCACGCGGGAAGTTTGGAGAGCACGAAAGATGCGTAAGAGTTCGCAACTCTAGCTTCTTGAGTGCTCTCCAAACTTCCCAAGTGCATCCATAACTCGATATACGCACAGCTAAAAGCATGAGCAAATTCTTTTATAACATAGCTGACAAAAATGCTTGCTTTTTGATTAACTACAAAATTCTCGTAACGCGCTACACAATAACAAACGCTTCTATTGGCTGATTACGAACACACCACAATCATCTAGTTTGAATGAAAATATTATTTCTGTAGCTTTTCTGTAAAACTGAGAAAGAAAATTTGCTTCTTTATTCGTTAACGATCAATGGAAACTAAGCAGAAACAAAGGTAAAAGAGTCTTAAAGCTCACCTAAAGTTAAAATACTAACATGTTCGTAAGAAGTCGTGGAGTATGGTTTGGATTTGCTGAAAAGATGTTTACGTTTTGCTCGGCGGAATCCAGAAAACATGTTTTTAGCGAAGATGACTGTCATCCTTCTTTAAACTCATATTCATTTACAAATATTGGCTGGTCATTACGGCTTCTTGAGAAGACCTGGCAGCAGTTGTTTTTGTGAGTAATAAATTTATGTCTTCTTGTGTAATTTGTGTTGTCCCTTGCGAGAGAAATCTTCCTGCTTCAGTCGGATTGTCCGGAGATAACAAAAGTGCATAACAAATTTAAAAACAACAATAAAAACGGAAATTTAACCTCTTAATGTTGTTGATGACCAGTTGGTGTCTGTTCTGTTCCCAGTGAATGTCTTTCGGCCAAAATTTGCTGCAGCTGGTCTTCCGACAAATTTGCGACGTGCAACATGCGAGTTTTTTTAATTCGGCTCTATTTTTGCTGCATGTTGGATCAGGACCTAAAAGGTCAATGCCGATACAAAAATTGGGCAGTTCTTCGCTGGTTTCTTCCATATTTTAAAGAGAAGGAAAACTGCACTGCAGCTTAAAAGACGACAACTCTGCAGCCAGGTAAAAAAAATGCTTACGTCATCTTATTTACACACGGGCGTGCGTAAATAAAGATTTTGCTCATAGCGGCTCAATAGGACTTATATAGGGCAAGCACGCGCGCTATGTTATAATGCTATTTTTGGTACGACTTCGTAGCCTGAATGGTAATTAATTGGCATCCTCAGAGGCAAAGTCTCTAGAGTGCACTGCTTTTCATATCGGCCTTTTTTGTGGAATAATATGTAAATTGTTCTAGCCTAGGTATTCTTCAGTTTTTTATGTTTGCTGATGCATTTATTCTGCTGCATTTGAGTCATTACTTCATCCCATTTAATTTGGCTGATTAAAATTAATATTATTTTGCGTAGTAAAATCTACATACATTTAGTCACTAGCCACTTGGCTAGTAAGTTTAAAAGTTAGTGTCGAAGTCCTGAAGCATTCTGTTTACAAAGACATTTGTTACTTTTGGTCATAATTTCACATGCTGCAAAATACTAGTACAGTGAAACCTGTATTAAGCGTACACCCTCGGGGTATGCTGTAGTGTCCGCTTAATACAGGGTGTCTGCCTAATACAGGTTTCGATAGATAACATCAGATGAGGTGTCAAATGCCATTCAAATGAACAGTGGAAACATTCAGAATACTCCCAGAGACTATGACGATATACGTTTGCATTAATTTCTTTATTAAAGATGATAGTACCATAAACATAGATTGCAACTCAAATTTGAAGAACTCAGACCAGTGAAACAAGCTCTATAGAAACAAAACGAAATAGAAAACAACAATGTACTGTGAAGCTAATCAAATAAGTTCGTCAAGTCACGTTTTTTAATGTAAAAATATTAAAATCTGTGGGTGGCAATCTTTCGCATTTCCAGTGTCTGGTATGTTGGGTGGTGGAATTTAATTGCTAGTGACCATTTAATACAGGTTGGCAACAATAGAAATGACCATTTCAGGTACTTTTTACGTGTCCGCATCCGCTTAATAGAGGTGTCCGCTTAATAAAGGTTTCATTTCAAGTAAATAAGGGAAATAAATTTGGGACTTCAGCTACTGTCCGCTTAATAGAGGGTGTCCGCTTAATACAGGTTTCACTGTACGTGATTCAAAAACACTGTCTTCAATGGTCTCTGCTTTTCATGCTATAGGTAAGTGTTAGTTGAGAGACACTGCAAAGATAATTAAAAGTCAACAATATTATATATCTTCACTGATCATTCCCTTTGTTCTCATCACCTACTCTTACATTGTAACAGCTTAAAGTTGGGTGTTGCAAAACAAATGAGAACCGAAGTAATCACTGTGGCCAACTCAAGGAAATTGAAGGCAATGGGGCTTTTCTCAATTTCCTTAAAAACGTACAAGTGTTATTACAACAAGTAAACCCATTGCTTGAAGGCCTACAGCGTCCAACTCTTGGATGCGTTCCAAACTTTGATGTTGTTTCAGGTGAATTTATTCAAATGCTCCACACAGGCAGTGATCATTGGGTCTGTGTAAGTTCCATAGGATGTTTGCCTAGGAAGGTTGGGCTTTATGACAGTCTGTTTCATGATGTCATAAGTCAAGAGATAGAGGAGCAGACGAATGACTTGCTAGGTGGTCATTTGGTGGAACTTCAGTTTGTTCCAGTTCAACAGCAGACAAATGATAGCGACTGTGGGGTGTTCGCAATTGCCTTTGCTGTCTCTCTTGCTTTGGGAACAAATCCTAAGCATGTAACTTTCGACACCCTTAGAATGCGTCCCCATTTAGCAGCCTGTCTTAAGGCAGAAAAAATAAGCATGTTTCCTATTTTTTAACTTACTGTCAGTTTTATTCATTGACTCAAACCAGAGTAGAATTAATCACTTTATGCAAGCAAAAAAGTGAACTGAAGGATATCTACTGTAGTGTATGCAAATTGAACCTAAAGCTGCAGGGGTACATGTAATATAAAATGTTGCAACACTCTCAACATTATTTTAATACGCTCCAGATACATCTTACTACACAAGAACATTTTGACTCTTGAAAAAGAATTGGCTTTACCCTTCACGTACAACCCTTTTTTCTTTTGAAAAAATGGGCCCTGGGTTTTTATTACTATTATAATCTATTTTACTACACATTGTATTTCCAGAACTTTTTAAAACAATGTGTAATAAAGCTATTATTTATGTCCATTTAGGTTTTTTGATAACTACAATGGGCATGGTCCCTGTAATACTAGGCTTGGCTGATTATGAAGTTTAAATTGATAAATAATGATACCTTTATAACAGTCATTACCCGCAAAGTAGCTAATAAAAGCTGGAACAATCCAAATTCTCATTTCAGTTCCAGGATTGTCGCTAAGATTTCGAGTTGCTGGGTAAATACAAGTAGGCGGGGAATCAAACACCGAGGGGTTTCTTTTGGTTCTAATTTTCTTCCATTTTCCAATAAAAGTAGCCCGGGGCCACACTCATAGTAGCTGGGGGAAATTCCCGGCCCCGGGCTCTTAATGACAGCCCTGAGTTCCTTTTGTATTTGCTTGTGAAACAAAAGAAGAATGTCTCATCAGATCAGGAGTCACTTAGGGCCTTATTCCATGCACCTCTTCGATCGAAAATTAAAATTTACATCAAGATAGTACCAAAATCTCATCAAAATACATGTATATATTTTTTATATTTAATTGCTTTAGAGCAAACTGATTTTTTTATGTGCTGTGTGTTGTTCCAGGAAATATCAGTCTCCATTGATTCGCCATTGTGTATGTAGTAGGGGTGGGGTGGGGGAACCTCTTGCCATTAGTTTACACTGCCTGCTAAAAAGTTTGGCTTACAAGAGCAATGTCAGTTTTTTGCTTCCCCAAGAACAATAACAACTGATACATTTTTTACAAAACAAATACAAGAATGTTTGTGCTTTACAAAAATTCAAAGCTCTCTGTACATACTTTACAAAGACATTTTTACCATTCAACGTGTCATAATTTAAAGCAGTGCATCTCTACCTTGCCTTGCTGAAACAGGTGTGTCACAACTGTATAATTTGGCATGAAACTATTATGAGACTCTGAACTAACACTTAAAACTTATATTGAAAGTCATTTTGTTGCTTGAGCTAAAACTTTTTACATGTCCAAGCCCATGTTTTATGGTCCCTGTCCTCACAAAAAAGTACACACCATAAGAATATTAACCCTTTTCACTCCCATACTGAATAATATACAGTGTCGTGTTGTAAGGTGGTTCTGACTTTTGAGTTTCTGGACAAATTGTTAGGGTTAACATTCAAATGAAACCCCTTCAACAGTACTTTCCTATGGTGCTTTTTGTTTTCAACATTTTACAAAATGAAATTTTGAAATGTTGCTGACTTTTGACTTTAACCACCTCTGGGAGTGAAAGGGTTAACATGGTTATGTCTTATCATTTCAAACTTCTAAAAGTAACCAAAAAGGACATGACTAATCTAAGGGTACTATTCCAGGGCATAAATTCACAAGAGCAGAGCAAACCCTCACTATTCTGTCAATTATTGGAACCTGGGAATCTGGTGCTTCCTTAGCGCTACCCCTAAGAAAGTCTGTTGGTAAAGTACCCTCTAAAATTGTGTACTTACGACGGAGAAGTCCAATGACCCGTTCGACATGAATGCGAACGCTCGCAATACCTCGGGTCTTCTCTACATCTACTGGGTCTAGCTGTGACTTCCCCTTAGTAAACGCTGGAATGATAAGTTTAGCTTCTTTTAGTCCCACACTTTCACTGACTGTGAACCCTCTGTCTGCCATAACCATGTCTCCAGGTAAAAGTTTGTCAAGAAATCCACAATTCTCAGTCAGGAACTTGTCAGAGGTTCTACCTCCACCCTCCCCCACCTTAAAATACAATGAATAAAAATCTACGGGAAGATGACCTGTTGAAAACTTTATAGTTTTTTTGGTTTTAGTTTCTTTA